CAGCCGACATTCCTGATGTCCTAATGAATGCCGTTTGGGTCAATGAGGTTGAGAGGGGAGATCGATCGAGACAAACCCTGCGGAGAACTCAGCTCTGCTCGCTCGCGTTCTCTGGACAGCATGTTGTACGTGCCAGTCGCAGACTTCAGAGACGCGTCTGTCGCACCAACTACCACACGGCTTTCCGTCTCTCCTTACGGCTTTGCACATTCCCAGATCCAATGAGTGGCCAATGACAGCAATCGAGTTCACAGATTCAGGAGTGATAGCCAGAACATTGTCTTGTGGATGAGGCGCATCTGCGGATCTCTGCATTATGTGAGACACTAGATTACTATCCAAAGATTGTACACAGCCCCAAGACGTACCTGAAAGGGCTTGAGTATTCGAGGATTGAGAAAGGCGACGACAGCACCCTCTTTCAGCATGGACATCTTCTCAAAGGCACCCCTACTTCCCCCTTTGTAGATCTTCTCCTTCTTACCATTCTCTTTTGTAACGACGTCATAACTATCAGACTCGAACAGGAGCAACGAAAGCAACGCGTCGCCCCGGATCGTCGCGCGCTCGCCAGAAGCCGACGAACGCGACCGGCATCCAAAATCGACTACTTTCATATTGACATATTTCTTTCCACTGGGCTTCGGCGCTTCTTCTTTCCGCGGTTTTTTAGGTCTCGCATGACCAGATGGACCCGCTTTCGTTGCATCATTTGTATGAAGTGTGATTTGGTCAATACTGTCCTCCTCGTCTTCCTCAAGTACTTTGTCTTCTCGACCGAGCCCAACTGGTGCTTGACTGTGCTTGATCTGTCCGCGCTCTGCGACGACAGCTATGGTAAGCCAGTCCCCTGATACTGGAACGTCATATCCCTGTTTGTTAGGGAGGAGTCGGACGACAGAGTAGAGTTTCGAAGGGGAAAGATAATATCGCCCACGGAGATAATCTTGGAAGTCTTCGTGAGACAAAGAGCGAGATCTGATATGAACACGATCGTTGACGCATAGTTACGCGACGAGGAACGAGGAAACTCACGACAAACGTATCCCCGAATTGGGCTCCAACCTCTCAAAGCGTGGGTCATCGAACGGGGCTTTATGATCAACAGGACCCATCTCCAGCTCCTCCACAAGTGCGAGTCTATCATCGCGAGCCTGCATATCTGGCGTAGTAGAATCATGACCGAGATGTGCCAATCGGACAGGTGGATCGGCAAATGCTGAAGAACGAGTCACAGGCACTGAGTCTGTATGGGTCGTGTGGTTTGCATGCACGCTGGCGAGCTTCTGAATGACCGTAGAAGGAGCGGGTTTCACTACCTGTATCGCTCTCTCAGGTATGCGTCCCGAGCGATGATCCTTGGGGGTCGCGTTGAACTTCGGGGCCTGAATACGCGGCATCTCTTGTCGTTTGCTCTCAGAAGAGGGATGTTGAGTCCTTTTCCTCTCTAAACCAGACCTCGTAAGAACTTCCAAGGGGCTATGTGGATGAAAGGCTCACTTGGAGACGGTGTAGCAGGAACCTGCACGTTCGAGTTGGAGCGCTTCCGTTTCGGTGACATGACGGAGCCCGACTTTACGGGGCTCACATCAGCTGGGTCATCTAGCTGAGCTTGCAAGAGAGAGATTTGTTTGCGAATCTCTGCTTGTCGTTGTTCTTCTCGTGCTTTCTTGCTAGTGGAAGACTCCATGGGAAGAAAGGGTTCAAGGCACGTCCGAAAATATGGTAAGGAGTGAGGAACAAGCGAGATCCCGGAAATCCTGCTATGTGTCTCCTAGAGGATACGCGGTAATGTGCGAGTAGAAAGCCGCGACCCGGACGACTTCAGAGTCGGACGCGGCACTCGCGCTTGAAAACGCGATCACGTGCTCGCGTTTAACCGCCTAGTCCTTGGCGCAACGTCAACCATCCTCCAAGTCGGTCTTTGGGGGGGATTTCACCCAAGAACCCTACGCCAAGCTTTCTCTTTCGATTATATCTCCCAAATATGAGACATTTTTATAGCACATAGAGAGGCAAATCTGAGGTGTCTGCGACGAGTTCGGACCATCCTTCAAGTTGTGTGGTGCATTGCATTAACTTCCGGCCAATTAGATGTCTGCTCCTCAATTATGCTCACCAGAGTATGAACTGTACACCTCATATATAAATCGATCGTCTACAATGACACACCACTCACTTCTCCGGAACTAAATGATATGAACAAACATGACCAGAGCCAATCGGAAAAACAAATTGCAAACCGATAGCGGATAAGTATAGAGCAAATTATAGCACATGTAGAGTACGAGACAAGAAAGACTTCCGCTGGAGCACTGTCACTCGATTTCTATCACGTCGACATCCAACTTGTCATCCGCATCGTCCAGGAGGATCAGTCCATCTTCTTCAAGCTTCCTCTTCTTGCTCGGGGAGAAAGGCGTTGCATCCGTTGTCGTCTTATCTGTTTTCAGCCGTTTGGCTGATGGCTCGATCTCCTCGTCATTGGGGGCGGATCGCTTCAAGTTTAAGGTAGGCGGAGGTGTCGACGGAGCTGGCGGCTTAGGTCTCCGCGCTGGCATTGGTAGAGGTGATGGCAAGATTAGAGCGGGACCTTCAACAGGATGATTCGGACTAAGAAGCATAAGTTCGGCTTATCATGATAACGGAAGAAGCGATACGCACGGTAGCACTCCTACTCCAACCTGGATTGTCGCCAACTCTCCTTCGTCATCGACGATAGCCAAGAACTTCCCTCTTGTGACATTCAGATTGTCCAACGTCCTCTCATTGTTATCGTCCCAGTCCGGGTCGCTCAGCACTCGTTTGTCCTCATATACAGCGACATCTCTCTTGCCTGTTCCTTTCCCGTCGCCAGGACCAAGTATGCCGTCGACCACCTCGCCCAAAGTGACACGCGATGGATCACAAAGGATTTCTGTGTAGGTATCTCTACAGACACCGCAGTTAGGGTTCGCCCGGGACATGCTGACATGGCTGAGTGGCATGCTGGGCTTGAACTGCACATGCACATTACGCAAAGAGTTATAAGCTTTGCGCATTAAATGGAATGCTTGCAGAACAATGAGACCGGCGATGATAGCATTGGTTGTGGCTATGGCCGGAATAATGTTGCCCGCCATTTCTGCAGCAGATGTTTAAGTTACCCCTAAAACTACGAGACGCAGCGATTGGCGAACCTTTGATCTCCCATCGACTTTGCCCTGTAATACCATACGCGATGGAACGTAAGTTGGAAGCTGCAGTGACAAAGTCGAGAGTATCGTCGTCGTCCTTATCGAATGAGATAGTGTCTTCGCCGGCGCGTAACCGTGCCGCCAATCGTTCCGTACTACGCTGTGTCATTGGCTGGGAAAGCTTTCGTATGGGAAGCAGAACGTACCTGGACACAAATAGATCAAGATTGTCTTGGAGGGTCAATTGTCGTTGGTCCTTCAACCCTCCAGAGCTTTTTGAGCTCGTACCATTGGATAACGAAGCAGAGCTTGCCGACGCCACACTTAACTGTCCACCACATTGCAACGCACTGTGTGCATTCGTCCCATTCGAAGCGACTCGCCCGTTGGCTTGCGGTCCATTCTCCGACGCTGGTTTCTTTTCGATTGCAAA